ATAATAATAATAATAATAATAATAATAATAATAATAATAATAATAATAATACCGGTTAATAATGTAATGGTGTGCCTTGCAATCTCACTTCTTCAGCTCCTATTCGCTCGCACGTGTTTTCCTAGTGTTCTCTCGCAATATACTATACTCTCTGCGTGTTCTGCACTGTCAGAAGTTCTTAAGTAAAGAGAAAGAGACTGGTCTTCCGTCACCTGTTGCTTAACTCTTTGAAATAGTATGCAATTTCTTTGACATACGCTTAAAGCACGTATTTTGTTTTAAAGCATAAGCGAGCTATAAGGATTGTTGCGTTTGCTAAAACTCATTTCAACGTCGTTCCTTATTATCGTGTTACGTCGCGTGTCACGTGTCTTCTAGTGCATAACGACGCCAACTTACGAGTGGTGCTAAAACTCCCTAATAATAGAGAGTACTTAGCGAAACGCGGTGTGGCAACATTGCCCCAGCCTCCGTACAACCCCGACTTGGCACCACTGGACTTCTTTTTGTTCTCGAGGATCAAGAAGGGAACTCAAGGGCCCCCATTTCGCGTCTTTGGAAGCCGTCAAAGAAGCAACGACGAGCTGCTTGAAGGACGTCTCCGTCGACGCCTTCCAAGGTGCGTTCAGCGACTGGGAAAAACGCTGGCGCAGGTGTTCCGACGCGGAAGGAAGCTTCTTTGAAGAATTTTAGTTACTTACGTATTTATCTGCAATAAATCTTTTTCTTGCACTTATTCAACTTACTTTTGGGACATACCTTGTATTTCCTGTAGTGTATTTTATTTTTCTTCCTCGTTTTGCCCCATTGTTTCTAGTAAGTGCATTGCACAAAACATTCAGGACTGTAATTTTTGGGAAGTGTTTTTTTTTAATTTCCTGTAATCAATTTGTAATAGTGAATTGTAAATAAGTGTAATATTTCTTTTTCAACTAGTACAACCATGCATAAAGCCAAAAATTATTGTATTGAAGAGATGAAGATTCTTCAAGAATTGGTGTTATTAAGTAAAAATATTGTGGAAAATAGAGCGTCTGATGTGTCAAAAAGCAGAAAAA